TTCATACTATTGATTACTGTACCAACCCCCGACCCCGCCGCAACGGACCTCGGGGGATCGACCCCGTAGATCAAAACCCGCACAGACTCGCGAAGGGCGCCAGCTCCGTGGTAACCGCCACACACTCTTCCCTCCTATTGATCTTAGGGTTCTTGGCCATGATCCAGAAGGCCTCTAAGGTTCTCCGCGCCGCGATATCGGATTCACGTGATTTGTTGCAAGTATTTTGTCACTTGAAATCTGGCTCTGCGATTTTTCCTCGAGTCCGAGATTGAAAAGAGACCCATTTCAGGTATTTGTTTGTGAAGAGTGTGGTTTCACGTCCGAACTATTCGATGTCTACGTTTCGCATCTGAAAATGTTGCATCCGTTTTCAGCCGCTCTTCTGCGCCTTTCAGCACCGTCTAAGAAACTACCAGTAAGTCACCCTTATCGGCAGCAGTTGCTCATGATTTCGCTTAGAGTTGAAGTTCGGGCGGGGGAGGAAATTGGGGAGGGGGAGGAGCTGTTCTCTGTCTGTGGTTTGCGAACTAACATAAGATTCATTCCACATTTATTCATTTACCGTGTTATATTACTGTCCACATTGTCATATTTATACGGGCCGACAGAGTTGGTGAAGGGGCACGACTAGATCTGCTTTTATCCGCTTTTCTGCGCTCTCCCAGTGGGGTACGGTTTAACGGAGCGTCGGACTTGCTCGCTGTGCATGATAGGGCTTGTCAAGGAGGACTGGGTTTGGATCGGCGCTAGCCCGATTTTTCTTTTTTTGGCAAGCGACAAGAGACTGTCACAGCAATCGCATCAGTCGTTTTCTACCGCTGTTGTCGCTTACCTCCCTAACAACTGGTAACGAAAGACTTGCGGCGGGCCAAACCTTTCTTTCCTTACATGTCACCAGCGAACAAGGCCCTAGATCTAGGCGCGATGCCAGCCCGTTTCCACAAGTCGTTGCCACTTTGGAGCGGGTAGCTACTGGTGGAAAAAGGCTGACAGAACGTATCAGGAAAGCCCTGAACCGAGGCTCTATCAGTACTGTAGTAGTCAGGTCCCAACAAAGGTGCAGTCTAAAAGAACACACCACAGTGGGTGTGGTTTGTTCTCGCCACTTCCCTTAAGTCCTTTTATATCACATCTATATACCGCATCGTAGATTTATACATTTACAGATACCACAGAGAACTAGTCTGCCTGTATATTAACATGCAATGGTAAAAGAAAACCGCACACAAGTGACATTAACCAAAGACATTCGCAGCGGTAGAGCAATAAAACCAGAACATAACTTAGATTCCGTAGTCCGGTGCCCCGCTACCTGATGTTCAGGCAGGTAGGGGCACTTACAAGGGCCATAACGGAAGAGGTTGTA